TTTGAAAACCGGCATGTCTTCTGCCAGTTTTTTACTAGTCTAAACCCATTTTTGGACCGACCGATGACCTGTCGGCCCGATCCGGCCTCTTATTTTTAGATCAGTTACAACTGTGGAGAAGGCATCACTTAGTAACGGAAGCTTTTCAGCAATAGGCAGATTTCCAAAAAAGAAAATCTCCGAAATTACCAAAATTTTCTAATGTCCTTTCAAAACATTCATGCACATAAACGGAAATTTCTGCGAAATTCCAGTAATTACTATTATATGAGAAAGAAATTTCTGAATTTTCAGATACATGTTAGCAAAAATTTTCCGTTCATGCGCATGAATGTTTTGAAAGGGCATTAGAGAAATTTTGGTAATTTCGGAAATTTCCTTTTTTAGAAATCTGAACATATCTCAAGTTTTTTGATTTTAAGTGCTCAAAACTTTTTATTCTTTTGGTTACTAAAAACTCTTGGAAACGAAAATGTTTATCCTCTCTAATTGTAGATCATCTTTACTTAATATGTATATATTACCAAATTGTATCCAAAAGTTGAATGCGACTGCTATTTACGAGTCACAGAGTAGACCCAAAAAGTAAGGTCGAGCAAACACATGACGTACCTTAACACATTCACGGCCATATACATCGAATGACGTATTCACGTCATATATTTCAGCATATCTGGCAGTGAATGTGTTAATTTAAAGTGACGGTACAGCTATATCATACTTAGAACACGTGAACACTATAGCTATTTTGTATCTAAAACAATCATAAGAGTGGGCCAGAATTACTGGAACGTTTCAGTAGTGATTAGTAGTTAATTCATTCCAGTATTTCTGGTTCACTCTTTATGAGATGTTTGCAAATCATTTGTACCGTTTGAACATAAAATATTATCATGTTTATATCTCGTGCAGGCTGTAAACGATTTTTGCAGAGAATATTCCCTACAAACCGTCACGCTATAAACCGTTTTTTCAGAACGAAAACAGGAATAAAACTCTACTCAACTATAGACAAACGATAAACCGAAGGTGGGAAAATAGAACTGCATAAAAAAGAAATGTAGGAACATGATTAATAGTGCCGCTGTTTTGAATTTCATCATATCCTTTATTTTCTCTGGATATTCAACCTTAACCGGTCATTTTCAATATAAAACTACTCAGAAGTTGTTGCCCTTGTAAGATTTTGAAATCTAGGAAGCTTATTGTTAAACTCAACATTAAATAGTTCTGAGCTGAAAACAGGCTTTCCTGGCTGAATGTCCCTTCACATTTTTTTCTTGCTTTTGCTGTATCTTCTGCTGTATCCGTGTTACTCTATATAAATTTCTTCTTATTACAAATACAACTTGGGATGGAGAACATATAACAAAGTCTTAATTCTTTGATGTTAGGAAAACATCACGGAAAACATCGTTTTTTGGCAGTAAAAACTAACTTTTCTCGCTTAAATTAGAATGAAATACACATTTATTATATATAAATCGATAGCTCTTTTCGAGGCACATCTAACCCAATCGAATTTTGTTAATAGAAACAAAGCAATTTTTTTCGATGTTCCTGGGGGATACCAAAGGTAAAGAGAGTTCCTTTAGGATCTCTTTGAGTTTTTGGCATATCATCTCTGTCAAATAGTGGTAGTGTGGAAACTATCATTTTTCTTAACGTCTTTAGCAGTAGTATCAACTAACATCAGCGAAAAAGTTTCAAATCAATTTCGACTTTTCACAACAATTTGTGCCGAAACGGTGCAATTGGCAATATGCAATTGTCTAATATGTAGGATGTAAAAGAGAACGGTTCGCACTTTTTAAAGAACGGATAACATTGTTTGGAGAACGGTTTTGAATTTGTATGATTCATATCTGACGTAGCCTCCTGAGCTATGGTGATATTTATCCTCAACCATCATGAGTTTTCGAAATTATCGAATTAGTAAAATGTACATCTTATTCAAAAGAATCAAAATCAATAAGTAAATTTCGAAACGAAAACAAATAACGTGTTACGATGTCTATTTCAACAATGCCAAGCGCATACTACATGTTTTATTTTCAATCTCGTCTAAAAAATTCAAAAACCGTTCTCCAAACAAGGTTATCCGTTCTCTTCTCAACGATAAAAAATATGTTCTCTGAAAAATGCGAACCGTTCTCCTAAAAGTGGAAAACCGTTCCCTTGTAAATTTTTGTCCATATACATATATCGGAGTTGAGATTGGAATCTAGATGAATTTTGAATACGCCTAGGTGAGATTAGAATTCATCGGCATTCCAATGTGAACTGACAAACTGGACTAGGTGAATTTAGAATTTAAATTCATTCCATAGAAAAGGAAACAACCTAATTTACAATATGTTAAAATAAACTATTTTTTTCGAAAAAATCAACTCCAGGGTATTTTTTAATACTGAATTCGATTCTGACATTGTTTCTTTTAATTATAACCGTAAAAGATATGCTCACTTTTCTATAAAGCATGCATATTGTTAAAGTTGTTGACGTTGATATGGTTTATTCAACAAAATATAAACAACCAATAATAGTTTATAAAGATTTATATGGAAACTTTCTTTTTATCCAAAATTTAAATTTTGTTTCAAGCGTTTTATACTCATCGGATTTGAATACCTGTAATATCTGATCATGCAATGTACATTGTATAGTGTATTGTGCACGTTTATATGGATAAAGAGTAGAAACATAAGACTCAAATTAAGTCGTAAGACAACTCTATTGTACAATTTCTATATCACAACAAAAAGATCTTTTTCTGTTTTCTTCTTGAGATATCAGATTATTTTCCTTGTTCCCCTTTCTATCGAATGAATTTAAATTCTAAATTCACCTAGTCCAGTTTGCCAGTTCACATTGGAATGCCGATCCTAGATGATTGAGTTTAGAACCAGTCGTGTCGCAACTAGTTGATGTTCGAATTCCAATCTTAGCAGTTGAAATTTGAATTCTAATCTCGCCTAGGCGTATTCATACCTAAGACTATGGCCAAATAAATAAGAGATCATTTACTATCAATCGATTTGAAGAATACTGCAAATAAAAACAAATCTTTTGAGTCTTGCAGAAAATTGCTGACAGTTAGAATTTAGCTAAAGACGCATTTTTATATTGAATCAAATAGATATTTTATGTTGAGATCGTAATGCTAAAGACATTGGCATGTTGACATCGTAAGTTTTAGTCGCCTATATTCAGTCTTAAGTCATAGTTTTTCTTATTAACGTCAAATCGCCGAAGATATAATATATAAGACATGTTTTGTTTTTCATCATTTGTCTTGTAACACATATATTCCTGTATATCTAGTTTCCCATATAAATGCATTTTACGTAATATTTAAAGATATTATGCACGATCAAATAGAGCTAATAAACTGTTTTTTAGTTCGTTTGTCTGCGTATCTATATCTAATTCATGGACAAGTATGAATTCACGATCAACAACAGAATGAAAAATCGAAAATAAAAGTCAACAACTTTTCTATTTTGCAGTTGTATATGATACCTTTGATATTTATATATGACAAAATAAACTACTGTCCAAAAAAACATTTGTGTAGTTTAAAAAATTTATTTATGCAGTTTTTTTTATGTCTCATTGAGCTCATCGTCTTATTTTCTAAACTTCGATAATGGAATCATGGACTATATATATCCTAAAATGACGTACAGATAGCTCGTTATGCGAATACATAACAAATTATGCTAGACAATAAAATATGTCTAAACTATGTACAAACACAAATTGTTTGCATTTTACAAAAAATCAAGTAGTTTCGATATTTCGATCATACCACGAAAACAATCGATGATCTATCTACTTGGACCAAATCGTTTCTCTCTTGGAGAATTTATTATCGGATTTCAATGGACAAGCGTAGTGTGTCCAACATGAACGAACAAATCTTCTAACTAAGAATGCAAAGATATTTAGTTCTATATCTTCCTATTCCATGTGTGTACGTAGCACTGGCCAAATATTGACTGCAAAATTTTATTTTTCGTTGTTTGGCTGTATCAATTAGAAGCAAACCATTTCATGGCCTGGATATTATTTTGAGGTGTGGCAGTGTTGTATACTCTTGATTCTGACTTTTCCAGTCCTCCACTAAGCCCTCATTTATGCTAGATATCTGGAGCCATCTAGCAAATAACCTTTAAACTGAGGGTGGATGGAGCTAATCCCATCTTGCTTTCTAAGATCTTTTATTTTTTCTCTAGCAAAATGATTTTTTGAAATTAGAAACTGGCACTCTCCAAAAAGATCATTACCCCCCAAAAAAAATCGTTACTCGTTTCTAATTACATTGTGAGCATGTTCGCCAAAAAAATTGTGTCTAATCAGGATCAAAACCATGAAATGGGTATAATGCCTAATCGACACATCTTTTCAAGTATGTAGCAGTTCTTATTATCGACATACTTCCAATAAATGAGAGAAGATACCTACATGAAAAACAATTTTCAACAAAGTTATTCAAACAATCATGTTTGTCTAGAAGAGTGCATGTATACCTTTCGATTAAGCAAAACCGTGTAGTCAGTGTCATTATATTCTCTATCTCAGAGAAAAATGGTCATAAAATACCTACAAACAAATATGTGTGATAGGTGCACAAAAGGTATGCTGTAGCAAATCTCAATCTGCCATAATCCTTTACACTCTGCCAGGGGTGCTAATGGAATGGGATGAGACGGTTTATCTCATCCCATTTTCAAAAAGTAGTTATTTTTTTAAACTCCCATTAATATCTGCACGTTTGAATTATCAATAAATTGCAGTAAGTTTAAACCACTTTGAAACAATTCAGAACGTTGCTCTTTTATTATAGTAATATACACCAATAGCATTGAGTTCATCGTTTTAATGTTTTTTTCGACGAAAATCAATAATTTACAAAAAAAGCACAAATTGTACAAATAATTTTATGAAATAGAGTCTATTATACAGATAGATATAAACAGTGTACTTGTACAAACTGTTCATTCCTCATCGCCATCGATGGATGTCATAAAAGAAAGTCTCTGATTATTTCCTGATTTTGAATTCGACACTTTTTTCTCTGCATTATCACCAACATCTTTAATATTTTTAACCTGTTCAGATGAATGTTGAGTAATTGATTGATTATTCGATAATCCAGTTTTCCGCTTTATTGCTTTTGAAGTTGTTGACGCAACGTCCACAATAGTATGTTCACTTGACGATTTTGTTGATCTGCTTGGCTCATCACCAACTGATGTTGTTTTTTTCTGTGGTCTTCGAAATAACAGACGTCCTGTTGTACTGATGCACTTTCGCTCATCTTCCTCTATGATTGAATAAAAGATTATCGTTCCATAGCATAACATAAAACTGAAATGAGCGTACCTTCTTTCACCCTTTTTAACTCTTTTTCAACTTCTTCTTTACTAAGATCACTGCTTGCCAATTGAACAACTTGTGGTTTTTCATCTTCACGTCGAAATTCATCGTTCTGTTCATCATCATCATCGATATCATGTCTGGCAATCCTGCGCTAAGCAAAACAAACAAAAATATAACATGCAATCTTTTATGATAGAGACAAACGAAGCTATCTGGTAATTTTACAAACTTTTTCATCCACATCCACTGGAGCTTGATAACCAGTACGTTCTTTGAAACGTCTGATAAATGCAGGCTCATGTCCTTTATCGTACAGAAGTTTCGCTCTCTTTGACATAATTTATCTAAAAATGTAAACAGCAAAAAGATGCATACAATATTAAGAGAAAAAATTATAACCAATACAGGTAAGAAAGATGCTCTTGTTTCTTGTAAAGAAAACTTTATCGAAAAGCTTAATATTCGCTTTTTACTTTTGCTCTTCCAGTATTCTGTATATTTCTTTCTTAAAGATTATAGAATAGTTTTCTTAAAACTATCTGCCAGTCATTATCATCATGTTATGTAGTCGTTTTTCTAATCGACGGCTATTTTTGACAATAACACACAATGAGTCCAATTGGTCGAAGTCGCATCTTAGATGTCGTGTTATGCTAGCGAAGGCATTTGTTTTTACTAATTTTTTTCTAAATCCTGTTTCTTTGGAAACATTTTATTTGATCAAGATCAAACAGTAACTTTGTTTCACGGGAAAAGCTTTTAATGAGCAACAATAATCCCTATACTTCTGTTTTTGTTGCTGTTGACCTGATGCGTACACTAATAGAGCAGTTGCTATTCGCTCAAACATCATTCAAAAAACTAGTTCATTGAATATTAAGTCCATAGTTTCGAATATCTAGGCGAACAAAATGTGATAATACTGCTCAACTCAACGTAGATCTAATATTAAATCGACTGTTCCAGTCAAAGTACAATAACAACAGCATCCGAAAGGCAGCAGTACTGCTATGAAAACGTTAATTAATGGAAACGCCTTCCTTTACTTTATCTAGAACATAAGAAATCATTCAATAAAAATTAAAACAAATTATTGAATGAACGATACATTTTATTTTACTTATCCTCATTAATCTCAGTCTTAGGCATGTATTTAATTGGAGAAAACTGAAGTGCTTTTAAAAATAATTTAATTTAATTAAACCAACTCACAAAAACTTGAAATTGATCAATGAATATTATAGAACTGAAAAAGAAAAGCTGCTATTTGTTGTTTGTTGCTGATGAATAAGATTAGTTTTATCAGGTGTATTATTCATGTAAGAGTGACTACTTAAATAGTACACGATGTACTGTAGTAAAAGCATACGTATGAGCATTGTTATGTGAAATTAAAAGACTTTAGTTTACAATCAGGTATTAGCTGTTCATGCTCTTATTGATTACTGATGTTACTAAACGTTTAAACATTATACTGCTACCGTTAATTATTAAAATCATCTTTCACTCATACATTTTGTAATATCTCTGAAAAGTTTTATATTGAACAACAACTATGCATTATAATAAATATTGATTTCATATTATCGTTCAAAGAAATCTTATTTTACGCCTAAATCTCAAATAGGAAATTTGCTTGAATTTACTGATCGAATTTCGCTCATTTTTTTCTTGATTGAGCATAAGTATATTTTTTCTGAAGTAAAACGAAGACAAAAAAGACAACAAATCTTTTAAGTAAACATAAGAAAAAAACAGAAGAAGCATTTAAAAACAGAATGATTAAACACGAATTGTTTGCTCTTTAAAAAAAAGGAGAAGAAACGAAAAAAAGAATCCAATAAAAAAATCAAATTCAAAATGATGACGATCCTCCTTCTTTCCTAATTGATCTAATGAGTCGGCGATCAAAATCACCTATTAAAAACATACAGTTATTTTTTTTGTCGAAATGTATATTTAATATATGGAACATCTTCAACATCAACGCCTTCCAAATCTTCACATAACATATCCAATGTCAACGAATGTACATGTGGTGGTATTTCTTTTTTCGTGACAGTTGCATACAATTCTGATATTCTAGAAGAGAAAGAACCATTTAGTGTATGAAACTAATTTATTGCAGATGGTTTGCTATGATCATCGAAAGAAAATTTAGCGAGTAAAACATTTGTAGACTTACTTTTTATTCATATCTTGAGCTTTATCTTTCTTACGCATGAAATGAGGTGAATAAATGACACTCATTCCGGCAGATAACATTGTAATGACAATTTTGTGTTCTTTCTGAACACGAAGATAAACATACAAATGATACCCACAAGATATACAACGTCTTATTGTTTACCTTAAAATATTCAATAAGTTCTTCAACTGTCATATCTCCGTTCACTTCAAATCGATCCCATAATGAAAATTCGTTACCAAGATACTCGAAAAAAAGAAAAAATTTAATGCATATTACCGAGATTTTTTGTCAAAACAACGTCTTTTATTTAATTACTAATTATTAAATTAGAATTTGTACTTTTTACTTTTCTCCACTCGCTCGTTTAAGAATCCTATAGCTGAATCACAATGTTTATTAAAAAATTTTGTTGTTTAACAAAGACATCAAATTTTTATTGTACTTCTCTTAGAAAGAACATCCGAAATTGATAGACTCATAATTGCCTCCACTCCTGAAGTAATTGACAGAAGTTAGACTTTCTCGTGAATTTGTTACGATGAACCGTTTTGATTGGAATAAAACTCCTAAGATACCTCTAACTCAACACGCAGCTCTCAAGCTCTCAACCGCTGATAAAATGCCATACATGTGCCATACACTTACTTTACTAATTTTTGGTGGCACTGGTTCAGAGAACCCAAAAAATGGTAATGCCATATTAACAAAACTATTTCGATATGATTCAATCTTCTTATGTTGTTGAAGAAATTTGTAGACTTCCAAACACACAAGACCAGTGACCATTGCCGTTGCTGTTGCTATAGCTGGAATAATTCTACCAGCAATTTGTTTTGTTTTACTACGATCAGCTGGATCAATTTCATAATTTTCCGCTCTTAAATTTGATGTAGCTGTTATAAAATCAATATGAAAATTTGTATCATCGTCTTTTTCAAATTCTAATGGTTTTAATTGCACATTCGCTATATCTTCTAATTTTGGCAGTTTTTGTAACAATTGTTGTAATTCAACTGCTTCATTTTCCCCACTTCCACCACCGATCTCATGTGCTTTCATTTGTTCGTCATTCTCATGTATCGTAACACCTTGTCTTGGTTTAAATTCAGGTATATGAATTGTTGATACATAATTTTTTACTTCTTGACGATCTTTTAATGGGGGAATAGAATACATTTCAGCACAAAGAGTTGATGCAGCGTAAATAAAATCCATATGTAATTTATTTTCAGGATCAAATCGAATTTCATGCGGACAACGTTTGTTACCACTCCAAAAACGTTCACCTTTTGTTGTTACTTGATTGCGAGGAAAATTAAATAGTAGTTGTACTAATGTATTATGAAATTGTTCTTGAAATATTTGTCGTGCCCATTTAATACAATCTGGAAAAGATTTTGGACGATCAGGACCAAGTATACGTTGTACATTATTTATTTCTTCTTGTTTTTGATACGCCGTTAATTTTTTTAAACGTTCAGAAAATGCCTTTTGATCTTTTTGATACTCTTGAGCCAATCTTACTGGATTTGTAAATATACCTTCGAAATAATCTCTTGCCCATTCAATTGTATGTTCGATTAAAAATGGAAAATTTCTTAATGTACACATTGGAACAGATGGTTCAGGTGGATCATTTGTCGACGAATATGATTCTGTTAAATAGGGAACAACAACCTGAACGCTGGCTTTTGTTCCTAATGTACCACTATCAACCAATGGTTTACGATAGTAAACACAACGACGATCGACATATTGTCCTAAAACAATAACAAAAATACAATTAATAAATTATAAATAAAGAAATAATTCTTAAATTTAATATTATACTTACGTGCAGAAATATTGTCTAACGCATTGACAACACCGTCTAATTGTTCAAAAAATGCATCATCGTAGACTTTTTCTGTTTCTGGATCAACACGTTCAATAAATGCTTGGATATTGACAGTATTATTCATCTGTTTAATAGCTTCAGCTGCAACTTTAGATTTCATTTGCTGGAAAAAAAAATATTGAAAAATAATTTCTTACATAAATGGCTAAATTTATCATACATACCCCAATATTCCATTGTCGAAACAAAAATTGTCGATTTAAATTTGATTTTTCAATACTATCCATATCTGTCACATAAATAGCACCATTTTTTCCGCATCCAATGCCCATCATAGCAAAATTTTTGAGCATTTCACAACCGATGGCTCCCGAACCAACCTAAACAGAAGTTTAAGATTTATTAGTTAACTATTATTAATAAACTCAACATACGAAATAAACAAAATACGCATAGCTTTACAGACGTCAAGCACCAAATTCATAAATGTAAACGTATAAAACGATAGTTCAGGAAGAATCATTCTTATCTCTTACGAAAGGTAGTTACTAAAAAATGGCTTCAACACAAACACTAAGATTTCGCAAAACAGTTAAATAGATAGAAAAAGACTGAAGGTGCTTGATCAGATGGTATTTCAAAAGGAGCAGTGGGTTAATCTAATACGGAATATACGTTACATTCTCATATCACAAATGAACCAGGCAAAACTGCTACGAATTAGAGAAATTTTATACTTGTAATCGCAGAGATTTCTTCTTACTAGTTCATCATGATTAAAAGTACTTACAACAAAATATTTCGATGCTGCAAGCTTCTCTTGAAATTCTTCTCCAAATACAATTGTTTGCGAGTAGTACCGTGAATTTTTATTAACTGGTTTCATTGAGGGTACATCCGTTGGCGATGTTGTTGTTGTTGTTGTTGTTGTTGTTGTTGTTGTAGAATCGCTTGACGGTGGATTAAAAATATTTTCTGGTAAGCATTCTATTGCATCAAAATACAAAAATTGCTTGATTGGTTTAAATTTGCCTGTAACAGCCTGAAAAAAATTAAGATAACAAACGACAAGTTAAAGTTAACCACACCTTTTTTTTTACATACTTTCATAACTTCTTGAGCAGCTATTCCGCCAATCACAGCTTGTATTGGACATAAGTCACCAGTACATATCTTTGAAAATAAATGCATCACGTGTTTATTCAATTCATCCGTGATCGGCTTATCAGGTGTTTTACAATTGATTTCTTTTGTTAATTCATAAAATTTTTCAGCATCGTTCTAAATAAATATATAAAAGTTTTTCTTTTATGTTTTATTCATTTCTTCTGCCTACTTACATCATCCCAAGGTTTGGGTAATCCATTATATTTTACTCTGTATGCCGATAACGCTTGAAATGCGAGATGTAAATTCGCAGGCATATACATTTTAGCAAAGTCACAGATTGACATTTCTGGCTCAGATAATGATTGAGAAAATGATTTCTAAATGCAAATCAGCACATAATATTAGATTCTCTTCTGTTATGCAAAAACTAAAAGTATAAACGTACAAACTGCATTGTTTCTGGTTTTTTCACTTCTGTCACTGTTCCACCGCCGGCATATTTTCCAAAAGCAGATGTATCTGCAATTGTGAAGGTGTAGGGACCTTTTAATAAAACAAAAAATCGTTAAGTTATCCATATTCTAAATCGTTGTTGCCAAACATAGCTGGACAAAAAGCTTTTAATCTACACGTGTAGGGATTAGAAATATTGCAACGAAGAAAAAACTGAATACACACTTGGTACAGTTATTTTATATTCTTGACCATTAACTTCCGTCATGCCTTTCACACCGGAAAATGTAACATATGTTCCCTCTTCGAATCCATGACGTGTGTCAGCCGATAGAAAAACAACACCTGGATTATCCTAAATAAAATTCGAAAATTCATGTAATTACCTAGTCATAAGAATCATCATTCATTTTCATACGTACATTACTAATTTCTGTTACAATTTGCATAATTGGATTTTCACCAGTTGTATCAAATACTTGAAAGTCTTCACCAAAATCACAAAAAATTTGACTAAAAAAGAGACGATAAAAATATCAACTATGAATTTGTATCGGATTTTAAACACTCTTATAACTTACCCGAATAATCCTTTTGTATCAGCTAGTACAAATTTAATATTATTTGCATGGCAATAATCACCAATCTTGATTTGCTCATCAAGCACTGCTTCAGTTAATACAAATACCTAGAAGAGAAAACGTCACCTTTTGAAATACTGATCACGTAGCACAAAAACTAAAAATCTTCCGTTGAACTAAGTAAAAAAATTTTTTTTTAATTATTTTGTTGTACAACTTACGTTGATCTTTTTCCTTTGGATATATTCGGCATTTAATTCTTCTGATGAATAACTAACTTCAACATAATTATTTAATTCAGCCAATTTTTTTTGTGAAGCTTCAGCACGATTCTTTCCAATATCTGCTTCGGTAAAAAAATACTACAAAAATAGGAAACAAAATTTCTGGTAATTTCAATTGATAGTTTATAGATTGTATAAACACATACCTGAGACGATAAATCAGCATATGTAACACTATTACAATCATGGATAACAACCGATCTAACACCGCCTAATACAATATTTTTCGCTATTTCAACTCCAAGACCTCGCATACCAGATATAAGAACATTGGAACCGGATAAAGCTTGCATTGCTTCTCGTCCCATAACATACAACATTCGACTATAAAGACCTTCATCAATGTCTCGTGGAGTTACTGGCACTTGTGTAGATGTCATTTGGTTTGTTGTTGTTGTAGTACGATTTGTCATACTATTACTGTTCTAAAATAGACGAGAAAATGAACACTAATCATAGTAGTGGATTGAGAGAACAAGAAAATATTCAGATATGCAAGTGAAGGACGTTGAAGTAGAGCTTAGTGAAAGAATGTTTAAGTAGAAAAAACAAGTGTCTAGGTCGCTCTTCCCAGTCTATATAGTAACATTGCAAACAATGATAAAAAGATGCTAAACGCCTGTAGAGAAAAAATCTAACAATATATAAATAAAATCAGACGCTTACAACATCGATCTGACAAACACATTGTGCTATGTTACACTTTCTGAATGTATTGATCGAGAAACAACCGTGATTTTCAACCTTATCTGTCAAACAAAAATTGCTTTTAATAAAAAAAATTCGAACATATACCAAATTTTCTGTAGACAGGTCAAAAATAGTTAATATTTTTTTTTTCAATTCGCTTTATTGTATTTAGATACGATTCTATAGATTATTTTTTCTTCTTATTTCATCATGTTTTATAACACGTTGATGCGAACGCGGTTATTATTGTTAGTATATAGAGGATAAAAAAAAAAGAGAAAGAAAGGAAATAAAGGCAACGTGTTCTACGTCATGTTTTACTAATATAACTAAATTCTATGAGTCATCATTCAAATGATAGATCTGTTAAAATAAAATAATTTAATTAATAGATTATAATTGTACAACATTAAAAACAAAAGAGACTTTATGGATAATTTATAATTTTTAATTAATACCTATTAAATTCTTTACATGTGTTGTTGTATGAGTGTATACGTATGATTGGGTATAAATCTGAACATTAACGATTGTGAAAAGTAGTATGTCATATGACGATTCATTTTTTCTTCTTTCTGCTTTTGCTTAAATATTTTTCTTTTCTTTCTTAACCCTGTTATTTCAAATGTTTGAGTTTTTCTCCCTCCGTAACCTATCATCATTTTCTTCGTGTTCTTGCCGTCTGCGAGATGGAAAAAAAATAACTATAGAAGAAAAACTATAGGAAAAAGCAATTGTCACCTTCATTATACGAAGACGGGAACTTTTTTTTTTCTTCTTCTTTCTTCATGTGTCACCTCTTCGCTAAAAAAATGATGATGTTTGGTTAACAAAATAGAAAAAAAATTTTTTTTTTAATTTTACTTTCTACTGTTGAACAACTGTTGACCTTTATGGCACCCTTTCTTTTTGAGCTTTTCCTATTTATCAACATTTTATCTTGATAATTCGGTAAGAAATCTGTCATCCATTAGCCTATTTTACTTTTACTAAATTTTATGTACATTGCAATAATGAACAAAATTTTAATCTCTTATTCATAGGAGACATACTTAGATTGCAAGATAACAATTATAAAAAGGTCTAGTCGAAACTTTTGTCTCGAATTTAATGACCTAGATGATCAGATAATACATCAATTATGTTCATCATTAAAGTCATTAGTTTTTATAATCAATATTTGTAAAAACTCTCTTTAAATTATTGTCTGAATGATGAACAATTAATTTTTATCCGACACACAAAAAATTTAACATTTTAAAAAGACAACAACTTGTAACCATTTCATATCTGACTCAAAGAAATAATAGAAACGAGAATATTCTCGATTGAAAAGGACTTGGAAAATAAAGAATTCATCTACTATATCTGATTTATATGCTAAAAAGTTTAAAATCATTTTTTTCTTAGCAAAAATATCTTGATAATAGAATAATGCAAGTCAATATTGATTTACTTCCCTTTTTTTTAACAAGGATATAAAAGAATGGGAAAAACTCTAATTATTATTTTTGAGTTTTAGAAAAATTACAACTTAACAAATATTTCAAGCTAATGAGAAATTTAGCTATGAAATTCGGTAATAAACAAGGTAATATGTTTAAATGCTTACATAAAGAAAACAAAAGCTGATTCTTAATCTGTAAACATCGATGCAATTTGCTGTTTGAACTAAATTAAAGATCAATACTCACGCCTATTCTTGAATTTTTAAAACAATTACACCAATAACGAACCATATTATCCGGACCTTATTTTATACCTGTTTCCTACTTTTTAAAATAATTATTACTCTCTGTCTATGAAATATTTTTCTTGGAAAATAGAATACTTTTTTTTCTGCTTTATAACGTTAAAGTTTGAAAAGAGATAATCGTTATGGCAAAAAATAAGTTGACAATTTTTAACTAAAAACAGAAAACTCTTCTCATTTCTATCAAGATGTATCATCAAAACGTATCCCATCTGATATTTAGCTTAAATCAATGATTGTAAAATATAATGTAACTTTTAATTATAATATTGCCCAGAATAGCAATGTCTTTTTCAAAAATATTTAATAAACGCAGGTTTAGTTAAAGAATGACAAGATGCAATTTATCCTAAAGATAAATTAACAGTTTGTGAAAATTTCGCAAGGTCTAGAAAGTATAAAATTGATCATGAATCGAAAATATGAAATTGAACATTAAAACTAACAAACAGAGAAAATTTATTCAGATAATAAAAGTTATACTTACTCCATTACTAAATCCATTTTGATGAGATCCAGACTCTGTATGATCCATTGCATCTATACCATTATTATTATTTGACATGTCGTCGCCGTTTTCAGATGATTTGAATCGTTTTGGATTAGGAAAATCAAACAAACGATGATCGTCTCCTTCCGAACTGATTTCTTTTGTTATGGACGAAATTGTGATTGTTGTTGATGTTGTTGTTGTCGTAGTTATAGATGATTGTTGTAAATGATCAGAAGACATTTAAACGAACAGCAACATCGGCAAATTTTCCAAAAATTACTCTTTTATTTTCACCGGTTCAACTTTATCTGCAAGAAAAATAAATAAAAATTAAAATGTCTAATTGTGATTTATAATCATATCTATTCAATCGCCTATTAGTGACTGTACGATGTGAATTAAGCCAATTGACTAGAATGAATAGTCGACACTGTCTCAAACTGTATTTATAGAGAAGAGAGCACCGTACGACCTACACAATTTCTTTTTTTGTGTATCGCATACATAGCATAGTACACATGGGAGGGAAAGACACGACATCACAGAGAGATGCGAAGAGAGAGAGAGAGACAGAGAGAGTGTATCAGCATATGAGAGACAACCAATCATATAAAAGAAATTATACGATAAAGTGCATTAAAGCGTACCGTATTACGTCTTAAACAGCGTTAAACTAGTGGTCGACATACACGAAATAATTAGTAATTTTACAAGCCCCTTATGAAATTGAGTATTTGTGACGAATGTGCGCGCTATGTATATAAGGTGCCATTAATTTAAAAACGGAGCAGAATTTTGTTTCGTCATCTTTTAGCGTGATTGGATAGAGCTGAATAAGCAAAAATGATTTTTAATTTTTTTAAGGAACACTTTTCTAAAGGAACAAAATCTAAAATTCTGAAAAACCCTTTAGTTTTAAAAATACTTAACTTTTTTTCTTTTTCGTTCTTATAACTTTTCGAAAGTATTTGTTCACATTCAGCATCAAAAACTGAGTATGGGTATGATGCCTGATTGAGATCGAAGTCAAAGGTCTATCCAGTATGGATGCCTTGGACTCCCCCTGTAAAAAGTTCCTAAGCAATTTTGCAAACCTAGCTAGTTTTTTATTTTGTGAAAAAATGAAGCCGACTTTTTATTTCGTTAGAACCATTAAACGAGCTTTATAAGAATATATCGCTTTTTTCTTAATTTTGTTTCATCACTGAGAAAATTCATTTTTTCTAGATCAGGAGCGAAAAACTCGGAATTTTGCCCGTAATTCTCTCCATCAAAATTCATTTTTTATACAATAAAAATATTATATTTGAAATCAGCGTCTAAAACTGAGTCGAACGATATCCATGTCGAAAATTGTTGTTGATTTTCATTGTTTGGTGAAAATCTTAGTGATTTTTTGACGTAAAAATTGAAAAAAAAAACAAAAGTGGTCGAATAGGATAAAAAAAGTATATCATTCGAATCCATTTTTAAACATCTTTTTCTTTACGTTGATATTTACAGATAAAGTGAACAAAATATATTCCCGTTTCGTGCCCGCCGTAAGATGAAACTACATTACACTTCATTTGTTGCTTCTCCTGTTTTCTGCACTGGAGATATAGATATTCATTTTATTAAACTGTGAAAAATCTACATATCGTTATTTTTTTAACGTGTGATTAGGAATTATCATGTTTATACTTATTTATAGATTTTGATGTAATATTAACAACAAAAAAGATGATGGGTAGCTAGGAAGAGCAGCGGTTCCGTTATCTAAGAGAACATTGGGAAATTGGGAATGTTTCCAATACAAGAACGTCAATTTTGACATACAACCATTTAAATATGAAGGAAATAGATTACCATTTAAAATGACTAATGAAGAACGTCTATGGCATAATCAATGGTTAGAAGGTACGTTGAGTATTTTTCTTTGTTCATCTACTACATATAAAACAAATCTGTGCTCATAGACAGTTGACAGACGAAAGAAAAACAGAATGTTTCCTAATAGAAACTGCTTTGACTTCACGTTAAAATTTCAAGTCGTATCTTTTAATTTTGTTTTGTAGATCAAGTATTACATTCAGACGAATCTCAAAATGTAATTTAATAAATTACGTTTGAATCCCATACGTTATAACTAGATGGGTTTTTGGGATAACCTGTTTAATAAAATTCGTCCGATGATTGTAAGTTATTCCTTCCACTGTATTCCTAATTCACGTAACATCTTGTTTCATTTTCTTTTTGTCTTCATTCGATAACAGTCGTTAGAAAACTGAATATATCAAGATTGTAAGTTCGTTATCCTATCCTAGAGAATTAATTTTAATACTTTTATACGCTGTATTTACCGCTGTATTTTTGAGCTGTTATAAAAATTATTAGAATAGTTTGCGTTCAGAGGGAGAGAAAGCACCGTTCATATAATCAGCATTCTTCCTAAGACACTAGTTTTTTGTATTAGAGTGGGTATACGCCCCGTTTACGTTACAAAAATATTGATGATCCGTTACATAGATCTTTTATTTACTTATTATTACTTTTGTAGAAAACAGGTACGCGTTTGTTTCAAATATATATATACATATACTTGTGACATCATTTGTGGTACTTATTATATGTGCGCGAGTCAAAATACGATAAAATAGATAGTACCATATTTCAAAGCACTATAGCGTAGGTGTTGTTAAATAAAACATCTACAATTCTTGTTTCACCCCTTCATTTTCATCTATATTACACTTGGAAAATTGTACTGACAGAAACGGAATAAAATAGTCACAGTAAATTAACAATACTTCAGTTGTTTTCTGTTTGAATCATACTTTTTTTGTAACTACATTGTGAATATCCATTTTTAGCATTGGGAAATTGCAGGCGGTGCAACTTTTTACGGTTACAAAGAGGATTGACTTGTTGTAAGTGTGTTGACATGTTACGGGTTTATGTCGATTAACAGACATCATTTCTATGTTTTTTTCTTGTTCTAGGGCACTGGTGCAGAAAAAGAGAAATATTTAACCTCACAAGATTATTATGATCGTCGGTTTCAAGCTCGTACAGCATATCGTTATTCTGAACATAAATATTAAACTTTCCCTTCACTTGTTTTCGTCACGAGATATAAAGCGTTGTCGTTTATTATTTTTGTATACAACAGTATTAAAACTGCATGTGAGATTTTGTATTTGCGTAGATTTGTAATTGTTAACTTGTTTGTTTGATTTTTTACAAATAAATAGATTAAACACAAATTTGTTCTATTCGCATCTAAAGTAGAGAAAATGGAACTAACAGCTCATTACTTGAAAATGCATCGTTCAGATTGAATAGCGGCGTTCTTTTAATACCTATTTTAATTTGATTTAAGTATGGATTTTATACGTGATTCTATTCAACCATTATCAAATTATGAAACATATTTGATCGTTAAACAAGTACATGAAAATGAAAAACAAATGCGTCGAAATGCCGATCGAACATTCGAACATAATAATATTGGTTTAAATACTGTTACTTATGAAACATTGAAATATCTGGAAAATACATCGTGTATCGAACAAACAGAAGAAATAATGAAAACATTCTATAATTGTGTCAAAGACAAATATAATTTGAGAAAATTGGAAATTTTACAAATGTTAAATTTACGTCCATCAACGCCCGTTGAATTACAATTGATTATAGAAGATTCTGAAACACGTTTAAGCGATCAACAAATCGATGAATTATTAAATATAATAGTCACACTGTTACCTGGAAAAGAAATGATGGATACACAATGACAATTTACAAGTGTTGCTCATAAACTCAGAAAAATGGTGATGCTAATTTATTTAATATAACAAACAACTGGAAAAATATACCTCAGCTAGAAATTGTATAGTGTGGTTACAAATCATAAGATCTACTACTAAACTATAGTGATGTCCAAAGGCATGGTACATTCCTACCCACTGAGCTATCGAGACACAGTTTAATCACATCTTTCTAGTGTATGTTTTTCAAATAGAGAGCATAGTCGATTAATGAGTATCTGGTGTAGTCTAAGTTCTCGTTCATTCTAGTTAGAATGCAGATGATCAAACATACGTTTTATTAAAAGGTCATACACTGGAAAGATGTGGTTGAAGGGTTAGATCTTGTAATTTGGTGTTTTGTAACCACATTGGGCTGGATTCAACTTCCAATCCAGATATATTTTTCAATTGTGTTCTATATTAAAAATAAATATTGAAGATTTTTTAAACTTTTTTTTGCTGTTTTGACATTATCTAATGCATAGATGCTCAGTTTCATATTCTCTATTCAGATCAGATGTTTGTTTGTTTAGATGAATAATGTTTGATCTCACCAATTTTTCTTGACAACAAGCACGTTGGTGTGTTACTATTGTACGTGTAATTTGATATTTTTCTCATAAATATTCACAGAAAAAAAAAATCAACGTAAAACATCATTTTTCTTTAATTACTTTTTTCTCTCCTGTTTTGTTCATCATCAATTAGTCAATCCCGCTTGCAATTGTATACTGTCTGATTTAGTCGATCACTATGCCATGTTTTGTCTCACTTTTTGCGTTTTAGTAATTTTAATTATTTCGCTCTTTGTTTTAGTTTTAATTGTCTCTTATCGTTATTAGGTGTGCTATTCATGTCATTTTTGCTTGAAGATAATTTATTAGTCTATTACATTTTTTTAATACCCTCAACAGTTGTTATTGCACTGACATTATACGGTTTGCGTTGGTTAGGTTTACAGTTATTTATAAATAATTAATTAAACAAAAAACAATGAATCTTGTTCACATTCAAGTAACTCCGTTAGTGAATGATGTACTTAAGGATGCTCTATCATATTCAACTCCGAATTCAAATGATCATAAACAAATAGAAAATGCACTGAATATAATTAGTGCTAAAGAAAAACAACCTGTGTATATTGCAGGTGATATCGTCTATTTGGCCTATCGTATTAAAACTGAACATGATGATAGTAATGATCGTAAATATTATTTTCATGAGTTATTAAATGGCTGTGATTTATTTGTGCCTGAATATATTGCACCTGAACGTAATAAAGAATTAGATGAACGTATTGAAAAATTGAAAGCTGAACAATCGAATCTTGAATATCGAGAGATGACCAAAAATGTTGATTTAACTTTCACTGCTCAACAATATCATAAACAGAATAGCATACTGCCAGAAATGCGTTCAATAAAAGGACAATTAATAACGATATTTAATGTTTTTCTAACAATTGGTGGTGCATTTGCGTTTGGCTATTATTCAATTGGACATACCCAACAAATCACCAGAATATTCTTTGGACTATTTTGTGCTTTTATTGTAGCAATTGCTGATTTTTACTTTTTATTTAAGAGATTGAGTCAACTAGATTAACAATATTTCAGTTTTTATACCGGCTATTCCACGATTAGCAATGTCTTATTTTCCTTTGATCAGTTTTGATCAATAATTTAGTAAACTTGAGTGCAATAAAAAAGGATATACTCAAATACCTTGAGATCTTATTTGTCTTTTAAATATGAAAATATGTTATTCGCTAACAAAATAATTAAAGTGTTTCAACTTGATTTTATGTCCTATACCTATTATTAGAAATGTCATTAGGTTCTTTTGAAGTTTTATTAGGTTGTTTACAGCTTTAACGGTATTCAATATATTACCATTCTTCTGAAGCTATCTAACTGACTAAAAAGCATAATCCTCTTGTTCTAATGCTTGGTGTATTTCATTTCCACTTAATTCTTTATCTGTATATTTTATGAATGGTTCTTTATCATTGTCGAGAATTTTCCAAATGAATTCCAAATTCTTTGTATATAAACTTTTATTTGTTTCAACGTTTTAAACTATTATTTTAAAAAATTGGTTAGAAGGAGAGTTTTTTTGATCATGTGGATGATTTTGACATCAGCCAAGTTTTTGTCAATATTTTATGAATAAAATATTGACACTTGTATCTGTTAATTGACTTATTCTAGATATGTTTACGATTAATAATGATGGATCTTTTTTACGATATGAGTAGATCTTTTTCTGTTTTTGTTGGTACACGTCAGTCTTACAGGCAAAGATTGATGTGTTGTTTAGAAATTAAAGACGAAAAACATCAGATAACATCCTCTTTTCTATGTCCTTTTTAGATTATATAAGCGTTTGTCGTGTGTCTAAATATTTTTGTAGTTTGTGTTTGTACCGCTCAATCATCCATAATGACTGATCATGAGACAAATTAAAATAAAGAAATGTTTTGTATAAATTGTGTAAAATTATGTTTATTGTCGTACACGATTGTTGTAAAAAGCCATACACGATTGTAAACGATCGTAAAAGTTTTCTTTACGGTCGTTTTTATTGTCCTGAATAAAAAGAGTTAACCGAATGAAAATATTATTTTTTGTTTACGATGCAGTACTCTATTCAGTATATAATTTTTTAGAACACAGTTTGTAAAATCTTAACTTTTAAGATCAGAACATGAACCAATTCTATATATATTGTATGCATCTAGTGGGGGTGAATATTAGCATTTCAATTTTAACACATTCTCTAGTGACATCTGTGCTAATTTTAAACATTTTAACCTGTTGATATATAACACTAACCGATGGTTATCCATCAACAAGTATCGAAAAATGGATTTATCAATTTTGTTCTTCTAAATTTATGAGAAAGTTGATATAAAACTTTCCAGCATACTTCTAATTTTTTATTAGCGATAGCATACACCAATATGATACGAGTCAAATCTCATTGCTACTGCTTTATATTGTATATGCGGTTTATCTATTTGCTGTAAGCTTGTGAATAGATAGTGACTATCATTTTAGCGTCTTGTTCAAATAAACAACCTAGTTGGTGCAGCTTCGTTATGTTTTCGCGTATTTTTCTTGTAGATGTGTATTTTTGCCTGCTGGTAAAAATGACCAGTGAACAGGTAAAAAAATGCTGCCATTCTTGTTGTTTAACCAGTAGTGTGTTTACTTATTTTCTTTTCTAAAGGTGAACGATGACAATAAAGTAATTGTGTCAAGTAATACTAAATCGATCAAACTTCCTTGGATTCAACTTGGCAAATATGAATTTGAAACATTATGTAAATCATCTTGTTGTAAAGAATTGTTACAAGCAGATAAAATTTACATATGTGAATTTTGTTTGAAATGGTCTTTGTCATTTACATGTTGGCGTAGACATAGGGTAAATTTTAATTATGAGTACTTCTATTCTTGGAGTATTATACTTTTATATTTTCATTCTAGTCAAAATGTACTCAGGATCGGCCACCTGGACGTTTGATCTATAGTCAGAGTGATGTGAATGTATATGAAGTTGAAGGCTGGAAATATCAGGTGAGTAGGGTTTTCTGAGTTATTATCCTTACTCTTCATTTTCTTTCTTTATAGACATACTGCGAAGATTTATGCTTGATGGCAACATTTTTTATTGATAGTAAGAAATTATTGAAAGGTTTATGTTTTCTTATCAAACTGTTATTTGTTTTAGGTAAAGTTGAAACAAAAAACGTTCATCGATTTATTTTCTATGTATTGACAGTGAAAGAAAATGATGGGTACCATTTTTCATCCTATTTTTCAAAAATACATTTACAAGAACGACTTAATTTATCATGTCTACTAGTATTACCACCTTACAGACGGCGAGGTTTTGGAAGTTTACTTATTAGTATCAGTAAGTGGGATAAAAGAGAGAATTGTTACATTTATGTCCTTGTATATTCACTAATCAATGGTGTGCTTGTTTTTGTAACTTAAACGAAAGAATATGTAGATTTTGGCATCGAATAAAGTTATTTTTCTTTTCTAGGTTATGGATTGAGTAAACTGGTAAAACATTATAGTGGAACACCAGAAAGACCGTTGTCATCCCAAGGATTACTTTGTTATAGAAAATTTTGGAAAGCTAAAATTTTTCAGTATCTTCTATCCAAAACAAATTCAAATGATATTGTAATAAATGGTAAGCTGATATAAATTGTTCATTCACCTTTTCTGTTTGTTTTCGATGATCATCATCAGTGATCCCAATCAGGGTGGAGGGGGCAGGGAGGATTCTAGCTCCTCCCTGGAATTTGACTTTTTGTAAAAACTTTTGCTTTTACTTTCCATCGCGGAAAATGTAGCAGTGGTTTATTTGCTATTTTATCGCCTTGAGTTGAGGAGCAGAAATAAGAGTTTAAATTTGAAGACTTGAACGACTGTAACACCCTTAATTCATTTTAACATGTTAAAACTGCAATTAAAAATAGAGTGAAAATGAGAGTTCAAAATTATAAAAGTTCGATCCATTTATGCAGCCGTTATCAAATAAAACTATCATTTACAGGACATCACATTAAAGCGAAGACAGAAATATAGTTGTAGCAAGACAACGAAATATCACGTTGGATGAACTTGAAAATGATAGAAAAAACGATCATGACGAAGATTAAAAACGACTACTGTTGTACTTTATTCCTTAATAAATGGAACGAAAAGTGAAGCAACCCCAGGTTGAACACAGATAATAAGTTAGTTGCCCCATCACTTTTCGCAAGCTCTTTTTATAAGCTTTCCGCGACAGTTATAACCCCCCTTGGCTAAAAAAAATCAGGACCCATGGTCATCATGGATTTCTTTCAGGTTTATGACTGGATTTACTAAACTTAAGTGTTAACAATATATATTATTTTTCAGACATTAGCCAAGAGACATCAATTGCAACTAACGATATTATAGAAACCTTAGCGTCATTAAATATGATTAAAATGCTTGAAAAGGATCGATTGATAATTATTCGTCCGCAAGTAGGCATAAGTAGATTTCTTTATGGCTAAACTTCTCTATTTTTTGTGAATTTAGGACCTGTTTGATGAATACATAAATCAAATAGCCAATTCTTCATTAATGCAAATTCAATATGATCAAAAATATTTGAGATTGAAACAACCATCGACATCATATCCACTATCGGTTTCAAATCGACAAACACTAATAACCGATGATTCAACGTTGTCTTTCTTAATGTACACAACGTCAGATAAAGATTCATCGTGATACGGTTTATTGAGTCCAATCTATGTCATAATAGCGTTAGTTGTGGTTATTCAGAAGTTGCACAAAAATTGAAATAGTTGATATAGTTTGGTCATTTACGATATTCTCTCATCTCCTGCATATAGACTAGGAATAATGGATTTGCTTTTGCGGTTTACTGTTCACCATTGTTCAGTTTAAGTTCACGCATCAGAATGTCCATTCGTACGAAACTAATTTTGTATTTTTCGATGGTTAGAAATACTATAATGACATTTATTTCATTTGTATTTGGGAAGGAAGAATAAAGCTTATGTCAAATACCATTGTTTTTTCTATTTTTTTTCATTTTATTGCATTTACAGTGTACAGACAGACTAATAAAGATTAAATTCTGTTTATGTAATTTTTTTATTTTGATTTCTCGTTTGTAAATAGTAACAAGTCAGATATTTTTGTGAAAGACAGTTGGAATTTGTTTTCGCTTTGATTAAACACTATATACATGTAATTGTTCTTTCTTTGTTGAGAAAGCAGATCTGCAACAAGTATTTGTGAAGTTGTTGTTGCAATTGATCGTCTGATGTTTTTTTTCTAGAGTTAGATAACTTATTTCTTGTGTACATAATATTTTAACTTATCAGTACGAAAAGACAAAATGGTATGTATAAATTTCCTCATTGGTGCATTTTAATGTATTCATTTTTCTTTTCTTTATTTAAGTTGGTACTCGTACTTGGTGATCTTCACATTCCATATCGTTGTAGTGGTTTACCATCTGCATTTCTGAAATTATTAACACCTGGACGAATACAACACATATTATGTACGGGAAATTTGTGTACAAAAGAAACATTGGATTATTTGAAAACATTAACAGCTGACGTACACATTGTAAAGGGTGATTTTGATGAGGTTTGTTGTTATATAATATTAAGGGACCATATCTTGCTTGATTGTAATTCATTCAATTTAGAATCCAAATTTTGTTGATCAAAAAGTTGTCACTGTTGGACAGTTTCGCATTGGATTATGTCATGGACATCAAATTATACCGGTTAGTTTAAACATGTTCAGGTTGTAGAACGAAAATATCTAAATTGTCCAATTTATTCTTAGTGGGGTGATATTGAAAGTTTAAGTATGTTACAACGACAACTGGATGTTGATATTTTGATAACTGGTCATACACATAAATTTGAAGCATTTGAACGTGATGGAAAATTTTATATTAATCCTGGTTCGGCTACGGGATCATTTAATGCATTAAATAGGTAATATTTATTAAATATATATAACTGAGTCTATACTATTATTCTCTCTTTTTATTCAGTTCAACGATTCCTTCATTTGTGTTGATGGATATTCAACAAGCATCATTATCTCTCTATGTTTATCGTGTGATTGACGAAAAATGTACGGTTGAACGTCTAGAATGGCGTAAAAGTTAAAATGACTTGATCACTAATTGTTATATTGTAGTTTGTTTTCGTATGAGTTGTGATGTGAATAAATGATTCTATTTTGTTTCCGTTTTTCTAAATTATGTCTTAAAACATTTTTATTATTTCCATTTCTAATATGTAAAAGCAATCACTCACCTTCCTTTTGGTAACTTAAATGCATTTAATTACTAGTCGATCTGTATCTTGTTTTTAGTATGTTGCTTTGAACAGCGACAGACATGTGTGATTATGGTTATATACTAAGAACTAACATCATTATCGATTCTTTTTCTTGTTTGTTGTTTCTTTCTTTTACAGTAACAAAGTTCTTTTTCTATTGATATTGCTAGAAAACAAGTGCAATAAAAATATTATATTTTAAAAAACAGCGGCGCAACCATGATTTTTTGGGTTTGTTGATGATCTCCCAGAGAGCTAAAAAAAATTGTTGGATCTAAGCTGACGACAAGTTCCCTGTTGAGGCTTAAGTTTTTTTGTCAATGCCAATGTCACGGTCATATCCTTTTCATGATCAACTTTACTAATGAGCAACATGAGTCATAGGGAACAAAAAGATCGTTTCGAAAAATAAGGTTTTCCTTAACGAAGTAAAATTGAACTGCTCATTATGCAGAAGAGTTAAAGGTCAGAATGTTTATGCGATATTAGTAGATGACTAGAGTAGTCATGAAAAAATGTTCAGTCCTTATCTGATTGTTTTTACCGAGACACAAAACCTTCAGTGTTACTGAGACTTCTATAAGCAAACCAAAAAGTAATACACAACTTTTGAAAGAAATCGTATGGGCACAAATCCTTTTAAGCTTTTACCAAAAACAATATTCTCTGTCGACATACCTAATATCATCGAAGACGGAGGTAGACACATGGGAATATTCCCTCGGTAATGATCTGACAATATAGACTACTTATTTGTCTTCAAAATAAAAAAAATTCAGCCTGAAAGGATGAACTTTGAGTAAACTACACTTCTTTTATCGAAGATCACAACTTACCAGTAAAATATCCGCATTTTTACGGAATATGGAAAAAATAACAATATTTTTTATTTTTTTAATCATTTTGATACTTGGCACAAGTTATCATGTCATTTTTCACCTTCAAATTTCGCAATAAAATATCCAATACATTTTTTGTAGTGAATTAAACGTGAAATCTTTTGATTAAAAAATAAGCTTGATATCAAGCCTAGAAAACAGGAGAAAATTTGAAAATACTGAGACTGTAATTCTTTATGACACACCCATTATTATGTCAATCGAAATTTCTGTTTTGCTTTCACATTAGCTCTTGTTCAATAGAAATTCTGGCTAGAATCAGATTGAAAAAAGGATTTTGGATCAAATAATCAAAAAAAAATTTCCATTGGATCAAGACTCAGATAGTCCCATGTTCTATCCTAGATAAGTCCATTCATTACTATTGCTGTGGTTATATGATTAAGTTTAGAGGAAGACAGAGTACAAACAATATTGAAACAATTAACTAACGGACAATCTTCTTCGTTTCGTTTCTCTTTAAATTCATGATGTTTATTCGAATAAGACGATAAATCAATTGGTATTGAAAACGAAAGATGTCTGAAAAAATATCGCATATTTAAATTGTAGAAGATATCCATAATTAGACATTACATAACTGGTGATAGTGTTTATTTTAAAATTGTCTCATTTGTGTGAAAACTGTACAAGTACGTATTAGTGTTTCCTCCTTTGTATTGACCATCGACTTTGATCTGCTTTTTTCCATTGTTCTAGAGATAATGCTTTAAAAATGTGAAAAATGTTGTTGTGAAATATCAAATACTAAGAAAAAGTTTGTGTTTGGCTTCGTTTATTCATATCGTAGTTAATGTCCGGTAATAACGAAACTTATTCTTGTCATTATGAATGGATAAAACTTATGGATCAAAGTGTGTTAAAATACAACAACGAAAATCAAAGTAAAATCCAATAAAGGAGGCATAATTGAACGCTTAAAAGCAGAACCAGTTTTGAACGTTATATTTAAAAATTTTACGAAAGTACTAGTGAATAAGATTGATCAACTAACGATTGGGGAGAAAATCAATTGCCATGACGCAATAATTGAAATAATCAAGGTAAACTTAATATCACGTTCGAATTAAAATTTTCTTTCCACTACGGTATGCACATTAACTGTGAATTATATTTTTCTGTAAAATTGATGTCGAATCAGTATATACGGCTCATACTTGGAGTTTCAAGGATCAATAAAAGATTATCTCTTCTATCCATCCTATTTCTTGAACGAAAAAACCTTTTGATAGTTAACACAGATCGTAATACCATCAGTATTCTAAAACTCGAATACAGCTAAGTATTGATACAACGATAAATTGCCTGTTCGTTTAATACATTGAAAATATAACAGAAAACAGCTAAAACACAAAATAATGTGAACAAGAACAAAAAAACGTTCGACCGATTATGGCAGTACATTGGCGTTAAATTCGCTACAACCTTGGTCACCGGCAAGCACAAATGTGTAATGTTCTCATTTTATAAATAAAATTTCAGTAACATAGTGCTCATAATACACATATACTGAACAAAAAAACAGAATATTTATCAAAACCTTACAAAAAATTTATACATCCTTGAGTATATATATATTTCTTCCTTTCAAAACAATACTGTTAAGAATGACCAGGTACGGATATACAGACAAACTTGTTTGTCAATCAAATGATTACGATTCCAAGTGTGCTGCGAAATGAAATTACACTGAGTAAAATAGGAATGAAATAAAAACAACCGAGTAAAACACAATAGTTTTGACAAAGACTCTAAACGAAAAATGATAAAAATGACTAGGAACATTCTGCTGTTGTTCTTTTTCTGTTTTCATTGTTGTTTCTATTTATTAAAAAAACGATATCAAAACCAAAAGCAACTCATCAGAAAGATAGTCGTACATCAAAATCGTAGAAAATTGAAATATGGATTTTGAAGGTTTAAATTAATTGCAGTTTAGTATCAAGAACCACTTCTAAAACCGGGAGACCGACCAAATGGAAGTATATGCTGTTGTTTATTATTATGTCCAATTGATGTGGTATCAAAATACCCATTATGATTAGTGCTGAATAAATTGGCACTACCACTCAACGGTGTTGTACTCATTGGCACCAGAAATTCATCTGTACCGAAATAATCCGTAAGATCTTCATTCTAAATACAAGAAAATCATTTAATTTGTTTTTATGAGACGATTAAGTACATACGTCGTTATCACTGGCTATAGACTCCGTTCCTTTATCGGCTATTTCATCACTATCATCCTTATAGTCGTTATACAATGGTTTAATAATATTTGACGATCGTTTCAAAAGGTATGGATCAAATGGAAAATACGTGTAAAGAATATTTGATGAATAAGTACAAGAATTATTATCTGATATTTCTGGTAAAGAATAACGATTATTTGTTTCAATAATTGAATAACAAAAAACAATTTGATAATTTCTAAATAAAAATGAATACGTTAACTAGTGTGTTTACAATGAAATAATACATTCTAAATATTATTAGTTACCGAGCCAATTGAGCAAATCGATGTGCTATTGCTGGAAGACAATATTTGAGTGGATTTAACGAAGATGAAATAACACGACCTAGTCTCCATTGTCGAAGTGATTCAATACCTTAAAAAAAAGATAATGATCAATAATATTAGATTGCTATCATCAAACGTACCATCTTGTAGTCGAACAATTTCTTGATGTCGATAAATAAATATGTATAAAACTGATTGACTAATTGCATAAAATGCCAGATGACGATTTGGATTAGATGTTCCGCTATTGCCTTCTGTTGCACTCACATAAGAATGAAGCCAATCAACCATAAGTTGTGTTATATTCATTGCTGAGCTAAAATTATATCTATAAGCATTCATCAACACAAAATAAAAGAGAAATAATGTACTCACCGAATCGGTATATATTTTGCACGTGCAATTAAACTACATAAATAACAGACAGCTGCTTGTCGAAATGTCATCGATACGGATGGAGACACAAATATTTTCCAACAATAATTTATAAATTCATCGCTAAAATCCTGTATAAAGAAAAAATTTTGAATTGGTAACTAAATCAAAAAAACTATACATACCGTATGATAACTACAGATATAAAATAGTAGAAATTGGACATGAGAGCAATCATGTGTAAGTAAAAGAACTTTTCCAAATATGGACAATAAATCTCGAAACAATGACTTAGCCTGTTCATAATCCAACGTTTCTAAACAAAAATAAAAAACGATACAGTAAAAAGTTCAAAGAAAAGAATTTTTATTACCATTGGTGAAACTCGTCTTCATAATATAATTGAACATGACCAACATTAAACAATCGAGTTTATCTCCCACATCATGTCTCATTCCATCATTGCCATTTGTGTCTAATTGTTCAAGACTAAATACGAGTTCTGTTTCAGCATTCGCTTTTTCTTCTCGAATAATGTCTTGTCGAGAAGCATGCACCTTAAAAAAGAAACGGAATAGTTGTTACAATTGTTATTTTTTTGACGTTATGTACTCACATCGAGACGAAGTAATTTTGTGATGATTATTTCAAGAAATCGTTGACGTTGAATGGGAAAATAACTAAGAGTTTTTAATAAATTTTTTACATAAGCTAATTGAACTGATATATCTTTGGTCATAAATGGAAAATGTTGTTCAGCAATCGGACATAGCAATGTTGAAGCTCTAAAATGACGATAAAATGTTTTAATATAAAAATTCATGCAGAATTCAGGAGTGTTATCGATAAATGCTACATTTTAGATAATATTTACTTACAGTGGCACAATTTGCACTAACTGTCTCAAAGTATCATGAGCAAAATCATACAACGGAAAACAATTCTGATTGTATTGCTCGCCCATTGCCGAATCTAAAACGTATATCATGTCATTTAACAATGATAGATATCAATAAAAGAATTTTTCAATACATACCAGGTACAGCAAATAGTGTAAATAGAAAACTAAGATAACGTTGTGCATGTTTTGTATTACATGATATCAAATTCGTAAGAAACGCACCAAATGAATCTAGAACAGACTTCGGTTGTTTTGACCAATTTATCTGTAACTAATAAAACATAAAACAAAAATGAATTTGGATCGATAATAGAGCTTTATTGATTACAATACTTGTAGAAAATCAAGAAATTGTTCATGAGCATTTTCGAATAGATCAACATTATCACGAAGTTCATCTAACAGGTGAATTAATGCTTCGGACTATAGAAAGGAAAAAATAGAATAACATTATATTTCTTTTCATTTTTCATGATGATAGTCTATTCTTAGTTACATTTGACTGATTTTCTTTTATATTGTTTGTAAAGGTGTTATATAAGTATTTCTGTCCCTGGAAAATAAAAATAAATAATTTAGAGATTCAATTTGAAATTCAACGTTCTTTAGCTTACTCGATTACACTGATCAAGTGCTTCTTTCACTTGATCAAATACTACGAATTCTAACATGTGGTACGGTTGTCAAAAGAGCTTTTGGTTTTTTGCACATACGATTTCTCTAGAATGAAAAAGCATTAAGATAAAACCTAAAGTAATGAATATAGTACACGAAATGGAATTAGATACACATTCTAACTACTCGTAAGTGGCTGGAGTAAAAACTTTTCTTATATAATTATTGTAGAAGATGAAACGAAAAACTTTCATGGTGTTGCATCTGTTAGCGAATTCCTCCTTCTCCATGAGCATTATTTCGAAGAAGAGACACCTTTTGTTTAGATTTCTCACAGTTGTTGACACATTGGCCAACTTTGTTTAATAGAAAACAGAAGCTATCATGGGCACATTTCTTAAGCGATCATACTGTTTAGAACCTTTTCTCCCTTATGGTTTCATATCATCCTCTGTGTGAAACCTATCTATGTGCGGGAGGATCAGTCTCCTCTAAAGTTTTTACTTTTCATCAAAATGTTCGGTGATAATTTTTTTTCCTTCCTGACCGCGGGGGCGCTTCTATTATTTTTTTCTTTGTCTTGAATTATAGTGTATTTGATGGCTGACAGAATCGTGTTAATTGAGCTGTCTCTGGCCATTACTGTATTTTTTTTTATCAAATTGTCAGTACTCTTTTATTGGTTTGAGTTATTGTTATTACAGGTCGGGGGCCTTTGATAACTCTCACTTTTCGTGAATAACAATACTACGAATACTAATACTAATACAGAACTTCTGGAGATCATTCTATCAACACTCCAAAGTTCATGAATTAGAACAGGCTTGAGTCAACGTTCAGTTTTTTTGTGCGCCGTTTTACGACATTGATAACTTTCGAGATTTATTAAAATAAAGTTTCATAAAGTTTATTTATTATTTATTAAGCCGAGATAAACGTAAGTCAGAACGAAAACTTAAGTTGCCACCTAAGATAACGATTTGATTCTTACTCAGGTTGTTAAGCTAGGCAGAATCAATCAAGGGAGAAATGACCATACTCTAATTTTTTGATGAAGATTTGTTTATTGCATAATTTATCTGCAGAAAGTAGAAACTATGTGCTCCCTCGCGAAAATTTACTGTTGGTTAAAAAGAACAAATGGAACGATGTTTTAAAGCCTCTTCGTGTTAACTATGCTATTTACGTAGTTTTCAAAGTTATTTTTAAGAAAGCATTATAAATAGGATTCATTTAATCCTGTACTGCTTCTCAAGATCTACATGAAAGATCAATTCTTAAAATGACGTCATCAGCTGTTTTTAGCCATTGTTTATATACTATATCAGCTGGTATTAGGATATGCTGCGAAACAGGCATAGAAATTTCATTTTTACAGATTGTGTAATACATAAGTGATGAATTATTGTGTACAAAGAGGAAAGAGAAGGAAAAAGTACTTTCCTTTATGTTTGTACCATAGACTGAGTCTACTGGAATTTCTCTCTTTTTTTTGAACGCATAATGGAAAGAAATATATTGACGAGTAGGAAGGGAAATAATAAATAGAATAATGATTCAATCATTCACGAATAAATGAGAATGTTCGAGTTTTTTCGTAAAAGGTGACATAGTTTTAATTTAGAACTGGTTTTTAAGCTGTTTTTCTGGCAGTACTTTCTTATCTTCTGAGAACTCATTTTTGTCGATGTTCTGTCTTCTTTTTGTCTTTTTCAGGCGTTATAAGTTAAAGTATGGTTTGCAATAACTTTTTATTTTAGCTTTTTTTACTGTAATTTTGTATCTTTTTCGAAGATTTTTGAGAAAAGTATGAAAATGGACTATTTTTCCATTAACGAAAACTGCTAATACTTTTGTTTGTGTCTCTCTGAGTCTTTATTTATGAATCATTTCGTTATTAACAAAGGTAAAAGAGAAGGAACAGATATTATAAATAGAATAGAAGGCTCAGTCAATGGTAATTTGCTTGATTCGGAACAATCATTTTCGATTCGATCATATTGATTGTTCTAGATTACTTTACCCAGGAAAACAGATAGAATATTTTAAACAAGAAAAGTTTTGAAATAACTCAAATGGAACCAAATGAAATATCACCAAATACGGTTGTGGATGAACGTCGTGAACGAATGTTAACAAATTTATTGCGTCGTGAAGAAGAACGTAGAACAACTGAACAAGTGAACAAAGAAGAAAGAAAACAGATAACGTCAACAGATGCGGGTAGAAAAAATTTTGATGTTCAATATCCAGAAATGAAAAATACGTTAGAAAAAATGTTAGAAAAAATTTGTTTGTCAAATGAAAAGAATAATGATCAATCAACCACAACTAACGAAACACAGAAAGAATTTCAAGATATAGCGGATAAAATACAAAAAATGGAAAAATTCATAAATGAACACGTTGATATATTACGTGTTCGAGACGTTGCTAATGCACAATCAGATGTAGTGAAATATCGTGAACAATTAAATTCATTACGTGATCGTACGTTAACCAATAAAAAATTCGATTTCACAACAAATCGTCCATCAGCAGACTCTCCTTTATCATCGCCAAAAGAAAATGGAACAACAAAATTTTTAAATGGTGGTTTGAAAACATTGGATACAGTCGATCCTAGTGCTGACTCAAGTAAAACAACAACAATCACATCGGTAAACACTGTCAATATATCGAATAAACATGGTGAATTCTTAAGATATGAAAATGATGATCTAAATGGAAAAGATGTTGCTATTGAAAATTTAGATGAATGTGAAATATTTTTGAAAGGTTCTCCATCATCGTTACAAATAAAAAATTTAAAATCGTGTATACTAATTGTCGGTCCATGTTCACGATCGATTTTAATAGAACAATGTAAACAATGTGAATTTGCTTTTGCATGTCAACAATTACGTATACATACAACGCAGGAATGTGATTTTTATGTACACATAACAGCTAAAGCTATTATTGAAAATTGTTCATCGTGTCGTTTTGCACCCTATAATGTTTATTATGAAAATAAACAAAGTGATGTAAAAAAAAGTGGTCTTATATGGGATAGAGATTATTGGAATGATGTTGTCGATTTTAATTGGTTAACACCTGGAATACAATCTCCAAATTGGGAAACTATTATTGAAGACGAAAGAAAAGAATGGTCATTAGATGCGACATCTTAACAGTTACAAAATAATATTATTTAGGAACATGTTTAGAAAAATTTATGCAATTTTTTTTTGTATTTATTGTGTATTTTTCTTTTTTTCTTAATTTTCAAGAAGTCACTCATTACTCAGGAGAGGAGCGTTATTCTGATGTTCACATCTCTAATTAGTATTTTTTTTGGTCTATTATCTTTTGAGAGAACAAAAAGAGAATATTATGTCATTCTCATTTTTGCTCGCTTGTTGGATTGAGTAAACAGTATCATCTCGAATCTAAATTCTTGAACTCTACTGCATTCTGTAGAATGCTGTAATATCATTCACTATTTACTGTTTCTTCCCGTAACATTCCATTGGTGTACTATCAGTTTGGAGACTGCAGATTTTTCTTCTCTTCAATAAATTATATTGTCCAATATTAATAACAGTTTGAACTACAACATCAATTCTCTTATTTTCTCTAGTTAACATTTTTTTGCTGCGTATGTGTTGCCAGTAACATTTCCATTGTTATTGTTGTCAGCATAATCTCAAAAATGAGTTGAGCAAAAAATATGTATTTTCATCAATAAAGTTTTCTGGAAAACCAATAGAATTTTAAAGATTTTCAACCGTTCGAGTAGGAAATCATGTTAAGTGTATAAAACTGCATTTTCCTTTGTAAATGAACATTGTCATGAGACTCACAGCCAGTGTCGATGTGATCGATAATATATATTTTCAGTCATTTTGGAGGTAGCTGGAAGTGATCAAAAACAGCAGCCATACCTAAATGATGGAAATTAAAGAAGATTCTTATTTTGAAGGGAAGGTATGAATCTATCGATCCATCGATAAATAATTGAAGATTCTAAATTTTGGAGGATTTGGAAGAGTGGTTTTTCAGAGATTCTTTGAATATCCTACTTTCAAAAAAGATTTTCAGACATCAGAAAAGATGCGGTCAAGGCTCTTGTCGGATGGCAGAAATTCTCTAGCTGTCTACATATCAAAATTTATTCAAAACATGATCACAGTTATTCTTTAATTGGATAGACAGTGTTTTTATATTCTTATCTTGAAAAATGATATATATATCAGATTTGGCTGTATTTATTTGTATTTCTACAATTTTGTGTTATTCTCTTTTTTATATGATCGCAATTTACGCATAATATGAATAAGAATCTAGTTCCTTTTTTTCTTCATTTCCCTGCGCAGTTTCTCTTTGTTGTTGTCGGTAATATTCTAAAAGCATGCTTGTATGTTCATTGTGTTGTAGCTTTTTAACATGTCTGATATGTAAATTTTGTATTTGTCTGTAATCTTTTTAAATGTCCAGCTAAATAATTTTTTTTTTGCATTTAGTAGTTGAATTATGTTATGAGAGTGATAATGTTCTGATATCTGTATATAAGAAACAGTTAATAGTGCATATTTTTTAAGAAAAACTAGGATCATTTTCGCTTATAATTCCACATTATTTATTACCTAAGCAAGAGACGATGCAGTTAGTTATCCTTTTTTTGTGCTTTAGTCAAGCGAAACGAAACGAAACGATATTAATATTTTGATGTTTGTTTTTCTAAGTACACAATTTTTTCTCCCTTTTCTCGTATCTTTTCTCCTTTGTTGTATCTCTTTCATTTTTTTTACTAATCACATTGTGAAGAAGCAGTTATTATGGTTTAATTACAAGAAAAAGAACAATCCTAAAATAAAATAAATGAAGTTTATACTCAATTAAAAATTGTGCTATTTTGGATGTCAATTTCTAGCACGATTGTACAACTTTGCAAAAAATGGTTACCGAAATCAGTGATAAGAAATTGAACCAGTGTATGTTTCAAGGAAAAGAGTAGAGTATGTATGAGCAGTTTTGTTAAGAATGAAAAACTCAATCCTTAAGCAGTAGTAATAATTGGTGACAAAATACGGTCTTATATGGTACAGTTTTTTTCGAAGCAAAAACCTGTTGAATCAACATTACATACAGAAATCAAATTTACACAACAATTACATTATAGTTTCTCAGTATGCGTAAAGGGCAACGATTTTAAGATCAAATCTACTATGTTAATCGCATCTGTTTCTAACTTCATTCTTTTATTTTAATTAAAAGTTTAGTGAAATTCTTTATACCTTTGTGTTGGCAATGGCCGTTTAAGGGCCGAAAATGTCACTAAACTTTTAATTTAAATAAAAGAATGAGGTTAGTAACAGATGCAATTAACACATTGTATTAGTTTCTCCGTATTTTAGTAAAATTAATGTTGTCTCATATAAGTATTCTATCTGTTTAACATTAATTTCAAGTTTGTAAACAAACTTCAAAGTACTAGATGATAATGATGGTCACGATAAATAGGCTTTGTTTCGCAAACAAGCTCTTGTTCTAATTCGATAATAGTTTCTACAAATGACGAAGAATGATTCAGTTTTAAAGTCAATTATCTGATAAAAATTTGTCTGTTTTAATATTCAAAACATTTTTCTGAAATTACTGAATATATTAATGTGCTCTTACGGTAGATGTTGAAATCATCATGATACGTAAATATGACAATTAATCTAAACGAAGATTTACATTCAGCATCCTTAAAATAATTTGACAAAATATGGTTTACAATATGACAAAATAATTTCTTGAATTATTCATAAATTAACCGTTCATTGTAAATCGTACTCCTAAATATTCCAATTGAACTATTATTACAAGAAGAATACAAAGCCATCACTATCTTTATACTTGTATCGGCATCCATTGAATTTATTAAGCTGACTCATTTATTATCTTTTAAACTACAATGTTGGAGTAACGCCAATCGGTATGAATATTTTTGTTTACTGTTATAGTTGTAAATATCAGCAATGACTTTTTAAAATTAAGATAGAAGTGTTCGAATTCGAAAAACTTTATCTTAATGCACTACTTTCCTGATGCAAGTCAGCGATTTATCATAATAAAATATTTATTCATATAAAAAAAGTAATAAATTCATCATCAGACACAACTTGTTCGATAAATAATAATCATGATGTTCGATCGTTGCTTTCAGCACTAACAACAAATATATTACCGATGACAATGAATGGAAGGTCTATGGATTTGTTTGGTTTTAATATATTACTAGAAAAAATATTGGCATAGAACGAAGGTTTTATTCTCGAACATAAACGTAAAGTAATTGGCGACATATTTGTTAACATTATATGAAACTCCTTAAGTGAAAACAATTTTACATTTGATAATATCCTCTTGACATAAAGATCAGTGAGACATTCATTCCCATTTTAAGTGTCATTCCTCATCTTTGGTCATGTTTCCATCAGCATAGAGTACTGTTTAACTGTTGTTTGTTAATATTTAGTTTTTAAATCCTTGTTGATGTTAATTTAGGATCAGGTTTATCTATTTAAATCTTATTGATTGATGAACTGTATATGCCTGAACAGTTCTTAAAAATACTGTGAGTTATTCAACAATGTTGGATAAACAATACCGTGATTTGAAGCTTTTCTCGACATTCATATTTAATCTCCTTTTTTTCGTTGTTTCTTCTCAAACAAAGATTCTTTTTAATGTTAATGCTCAAGAAGATTCTTACACGTACAGTTTTACTGCAGCAATTAGTTTTTGGTTTTGGCAGTTGTCAATTTAGAGACAAACTGGCACAATTTATTCTTATTAGCGCTTATAATCACAAAAGTATGCCATGGCATTAATCGTATCTCTAATGTTTTGATCAACTTCATCTCTATTCAATACTAAGTGATACAGAATTAATATCCAATGAAATATGCCAAACAATCAAAATAATGTGCATGATATTAGTCGATTTCTATAAGACTTGACATGGATATCAACGGTAATAACCAAATGACAGTAATCCGTTGCCTTTCGTTCATTCTCTTTCCTTCCTATGATAAGACTGAAAGATCGTTTTGAAAAAAAGAGAATGTTTTCTGACTGATATTTTACTGATATATACTGTACATTTATTTTCTTACGTCACAATCTCACAACTTGTAGTAAATTCTCCATGACTTGCGCGCGTAGTATTGGTGTGCTTAAGGCAAATTAAACACTTGTGTTGTTGTTACTATTGTCATTATTATTATTATTATTATTATAAATATCTAAATTTATTTGCGCTATTTTTTTAACTTTTTGTTTATTGTACAAGACTGCATTTTTAAGCATGAATCTTCGAAGAGACATCCGACCACTAAATGAGTTACTGCTAGTATTAAAAAAAGCAATATTCTTCAAAATCTATCATCATTTGGTTTCACAAATTTGCGCTTTAGATTATTTACGTTTATTTATTTAACTTGAAATGACATAGATAATATAAGGATAACAATATGAAGAAGAAAGATAGACCCAAGCATATACTGCACTTATACATTCATTTGTCTTCATAAATTTCTTGCCGTAAAAAATATGAAAAATTTTATCGTACGAGTAATGAAACGATTATTGAACAGGCAAAAAAGCAGAAGAAATATTCATAAAAAGCTAGCATAAAAAATAAATATAAACAAACTGATAATGGAGCGGAATGAATGATTTACAAGTTTCACATGTCACCAAAATCTTAGTGATATCCAAAAAAATGCTTCAACGAGCATCATTCTCCAGTTTGTATGACTAGAAATGATGATAAGAAGAAAGAAGCTAGTATATTACGTGTATTGTAATCGTAAAAGGTGATAAAGATCTGTTCTACTAGCTCGATTTGGTTTCGGGTAGGTTTTAGCTCCAATTGATCTAGATTCATTTGAATTAATCAATATGTCCTGAAAACTATAGTTACAGATAAAAAATCAACAGCGCACCTTTTTTCACATTTAACACTCATAAGCACCAAAGAAGAAAAACACATATATATCAGAAGAAAAACATATTGAACATTTGAAAAAAATTGAAATTCACAAAAATAATTCACATGCAAATTCTGCTTTACATTCTTTGGAAGAAAAAATCCGACTAAAAAAATATACGATTTCAGACAACAAGTAAAAAAAGAAAGATAAGTGGATAGCATTCTCATGATAGCATTGATTTTTACTATAGAATAGGCACGAAACATAACACACTCACACGAAGAAAAATCAGAAGACAAAATGATTGACTGATTGAACCGGAAATACACGCAAATTTACAAAAGACAAAACAAAATTGAACCCATAAATGATTCAGACCTTTGTTTCTCTACTGACTATTGTGTTCAAAATATTCGTAAATCAATCATACTGGAATAACAGAACAAATATAATAATAATTATTTGAATGAATTGTGTGCATTTCGCAATTGAGAGGTAATCTAGAATGAGATAAATAATAAGAAATAAAATAACAGTAGAGTTATATTTGTTTACACTTACATCTTCATAAAATTTGATTTGTTGACCAATTAGTGTCTTCATTATTTGATTAAAGTCTTTTACTTTCTCACTATTGAAAAAATTAATTTCAGCTAACACAACGTGATTGAGAACATGATTACGATGTATTGCATTACTAAAATCGGGCGTGTTCGGAGAACGTTGTTGAATATTCTTCATAAAATCGCTCGAATTCTAAAACAATACGGAGTTCATAAAAGTAGTTTATATGTCAAACTATAATCGACGTACCCGATGAATACTTAAAATAGCTGGAAAACATTGTACAATTCCAAGATATTCTTGAATATGATCAAGAAAATCTCGTAAACTTCCAATAGCCTAAAAACAAGAAAGAAAAGTTTACAGTAATTGTTATTTACAACAATTACAACGTCCTTACCTGACTTTTATAAAATTCTGCAATGTTTTCATACGATTGTCCTATCAATTGAATCGAACTTGACAAGTCTTTATCGGCTAAAATAACGCATATGTAATGTATGAATATGTAAATAATAATGGAAACATAATACATACCAGTTGTTGTATCGATCTGCAATGCTTTATGCAGTTTATTAAACAAGTCGCCAACCTTTTGAATATCTTTCTCGTACACTAAAATAATTCAGTAACTCGTTTTTTGTTAAACATCTATCGAAAATTATCTCTTACCTTCTGTGTGACGCTCTGAATATTTTGTAAAACCTTGAATCACATTTTTCAACTGAGTTTCCAGAGCTGATTGTTGTTGAGCGAATATATCAATTTGTTGTAGGCTTTTAGTGGGAAAAAACAATTTACTTTTATTAATACGCTAGTTGAGCATCTGAATATACTTACATTTGCTGATCTGATTGTCCTGTACCATTAAGACTAACACATGCAAGCCATTGCGCTTCTTTCAGTTCATCTTTTTCAATTTTCCGTTTTCCAACCTTCCAATCCTAAAATTAAACGAACAAACTTTTTAATGTGAATTTCGAGTAGGCTGTTAACAATTCGTTACTTTAACAGTTTTTTCTGATAATTCACAGGTAAGAAAATGTTTCACAGGAAATGAGGCACAGAGAACAGGATGTCGACATATTCTATTCAACCATACTTCGAGTTGTCGTTTGCGTTCTTGAACAAATTCTTGTTCAAATCGTCCTTAAAATATAAAGTAGTGCACAATTAATCTCGAATTATGGTCTTCAAGGTAATGAGAAATACCAGCAATTTGTTTGCCTGGCAATGGTGGTATACATATAAAACGATACTTTAAAGCTAACTGCTCCTGTAACCAAACGAATTGTTTATAACGTCTTCCTACCAGTTTTCCACCTGATCTCTAAAGATATGACATATATAAAGTGATTATCTATAGAGGATGAATTATTTTACTTGTGCTTGAATTTTATATTCCATAAAAGCTTTCAACCCGCCCAACTTTGTAGATCGTATTGGATCTTCTATTTTAACGGTAAACGGCGGAATAGATGCATTATTTGCCCAATAAACAATTCCTTCATATTCGTTGAACTAAATTAAATGAATATATAACACGCAAACCAAATATTTCAATAAACAAAATTTCACTCACGGCAATATCAACATGTTCATCTGATTTTGTTTTGAAACCATTGAGCAAATAATTATCAAGGCCATGACGATCAAAAAACCTGAGAGAGAAAAGAAATCTATGACCTTAAGAAATTTAGAAGTGTGACGACGAACCGAGCTCGAGGTGCAGCTTTAGTTGTTAAATCACCTGTAGTAGGTCGGTTTTGTTGCAAATGTCCACCGGGCAACTGAAAAACAAGAAAATGGTTAGTTGATTTAATATTCAAGGCTAACACGAAAAAATAATTATAACGAAAATAACGAAATTGTACAAAAAATACGTCTCGTCTTAAAATCAAATCCACGACACATAACTGACTCGCTCGGCTAATGTCGTACTCCTTAATGTTCAAGTCTAGACTAATACATATTAATCTTTCTTTTTATTCAATCGTTCCTAGTGGAAGCATTTTTAGGCATACAACAAAAATTATTTATAACACAATTTACACTTGTTACAATAATGCTGAAGACTAGAATAGTCTCTGACTCCACTGACCAATACTTTCGAAGTTCAGTCTAATAAATGGAAACAAGATAAAGGTAGGTCGATTCAAACGAGATCATAAACAAAAATCTTGAAATTAATTAAGGTAAGTAAAGTAATGAGGACTATCGACTACATGATTAATTCGATAAAAACACTGTTGTAAATGTCTGCGGTGTAAAACATACATTGGCAAGCTGATCCATATATTCATCTCACATTTTCATATGTCATCAATTTCCATATAGTCATGTCGACAAAAAGCGTGAAACAGAACCAAGCTATATAATCGTACAACGCACAACTTGCAAATGTATGTGTAAACTACGCATATAAGTAGAAAGTTTTATAGCGTCTTCAAGGAATCCATATCTGAGAGATAATGAAAAAGGATAATTCATGCATGAAAATATATGACTGTGAAAAGTGAGCCTTCGCATGCATAAATTGTCCTGTATAAACGTCGCACCAAAACATGAGAGCAACTACTATACGATGATTCAACTGAAATTTATTTAACCTTCGGAACTTAAAACATGCGATATAAACATCTGAAGAGTAAGAGCCTCACTTTCAAAGCTAACTGAGTCGAATTAGAAGGAACGGTTAGAATCGGATCAATGTGTCTCGAGTAAGTAAGAAATAAATTTTAAAAAGAGGTCCAGAAGGAAAAAACTCACAAAGCTAAATGTGAAAATGAGTCAGCTTATACACATCATTAAATCGAAAAGACAAAGTAGACGCGAACAATCAGTCGTAGTTTAAAAGATGGCCGCTAATTTTCAAATTATGGACATTTAGTAACGTTGTATAAAACAGTTTACCGTATTTGAGTGATTAAACGTTAAAAAGACAAAATCAAACAAACGAGGTAAACACAGCAAACTGCCAAGTGTAAACAACACAAACAATCTAATTTATGAAAGGTGCGACTTATCAAAATATAAAGCGTGAATATCTACGCACACATAGTTTTACTTGAAACTAACCGTATTCGTTCGTTTTATGTTTCCAGGTTTCTGCAAAATGGGCCGAAAACCTTTTTCTTTGATCAAATTCAGTAGCCAGCTATTAAACGTAACAGAAACTACTTACAGAACTTAAATCGGCATTTGATTGTGGCTGATTTTCTGCATCACTAAAATCACTACCATCAGAATCTGTATCTTTGCTAATTTTAGATGTCTAGAAAAAAAGATTCAAATAAAACATAATAAATTTAAAAATAGTTCAGACAGATAAAATCAGAGAAATAGCAAAAAACAGCTGATTTTAAAATCATAGCAAAAATAATCAAAATGTACGCAATAATTTGATAAAGTTATTACGTGATAGGATAATTAAAACCATTTTCATTCATAAATTTCATCATTCTTCTTGTAAACTCTTATTTAAGAGTAATTGTTGTTGAATTTCTTGTATTGTCACACTGAAGCAGCATTAGGTCTTTTACTTACAGCTGCTGCATCACAACTTTTTAATTCATTTTTTAATTGTGCTGCGTTAGACTTTGATCGTCTTAATGTAAAAAATTTTTGTTTTTGCTCTTTCGATTTTGTTGTTTTGCTTTGGTTTGAAACTGGCAATGTTTGAGGCTCACTGGGTGAAGAGACAGTTGAAGACGCTTTTAGAGCGAAAGTATCATCCAAATTTGTTTCATACGATTTCGGCTGCGTTGATGGAGATGAAAAAGTTTCGAATGCTTGTTGTTGTTGTTGTTGTTGTTGCTGTATTATTAGAACTTCAGATGGTTCTATTGTATATAAGTTTGATGGCGCAGTGTATTGATTGAAGTTTGGTTGTTGTGAAAACGATGGAACATTCCAGTTCTGTTCATGCATCGTTTCTTGATGGTAAAATGGTTCTTGTTGTGGTTGTTGTGAAAACGATGGAACATTCCAGTTCTGTTCATGCATCGTTTCTTGATGGTAAAATGGTTCTTGTTGTGGTTGTTGTGAAAACGATGGAACATTCAAGTTCTGTTCATGTATCGTTTCTTGATGGTAAAATGGTTCTTGTTGTGGTTGTTGTGAAAACGATGGAACATTCAAGTTCTGTTCATGCATCGTTTCTTGATGGTAAAATGGTTCTTGTTGTGGTTGTTGTTGGTACTCAGATATTGCACTGAAGTTATCATTACTTTGCTCTGTCACATTGAATTCTTGTGGATAAGGTATCTCATTGCACAGGTTATCCATGGATCGAGTTTCAGAGAGCGCAACATTTTCTGTTGGACTAGTAGACTATAAAAAAACGAGGATCTTAAAATAACTGATTAAAATAGGGCATTCTAAGATACGAGCCAATACATTAAAAATGCTAAAGAGAAACACAGGAGAAGATCTTTTTAGATACGCGGAAAAAAAGAAAAAAATCAGTGTTTTGATGAGAGTGTGCAAAAGTATCCTACAGAAAAATTTGCGTCGACTTTTATATATGGCAACAAATTCGGATAGGACTTCAAACGTGAACGATTGTATCAGACACAAAAAATTATCACATAAAAATTGAAGGTATTCAAGAGCCCTTCAACGCTGAATTTTTCGTGAAAGTCAATAAAATATTTCTCATGGTATACACATAAAACCTTGACTTACACTTTGATGTAATGTTGGATGTATGTTCGTGTTTGTACCTGGTTGCCATGCAAATTGATCTACATTTGTATTTGTATAGTTTGACGCAGACCGTTGTGACGAAGAAAATACATTATTATTGGGATTGTGTAACGAAGAAGCTGGATAGTTGTTTTGAGAACCAGAACCATTACCGTTCCATAGAGATAAATCGGGATGTGCATAACATGACGGAGGTTTACTCGGCTCGGGTGTTTCATCAACGATTGTTTGAACATAATTCTCAGGAATTACACCTAATCTTCCATGACTATTTTTTGCATACCACCATCCGTTCCCAGGCGCGCTGGTAGATGTGATTATTATAATATCGTTTACATTGAAACTTAATTCGTGTTCACTCTCACCCACAAAGTCATATAATGCCCGCACTTTAAACTCACTTGCCATTCAATATTCTAAATAGAGAAGTAAGTAAAAATGATCTGACCACAGCTCAATTTTTACCCTATTCTAAACTTACTGTCAGATTAAAGAAGAAAATGCTTTTAAATGTGATATCCACGAGGGCGATTTTCTTGAAAACTTTGATCTGTTTTTGATATATCAATAAAACTGTTTTTTCTTTGTGCCACTAAACTTAGTGAGAAAACAGATTATCTTGCATTGTGAAGGTCTATTAACGTGACGTTTTGATAAATAGATGATTTTATTTACTTTTCATTCTGTTCTGCTATTTTTATTTTTTTAATGATAAAAGAAAGGAAACAAAAAAACACAAAAACAGAAATTTGTCACACTTATTTTTTCACAGACTAGATCAGTATTAGCCATAGGAAAGGCCAATCAAATAAATTCTTAATATTTGATTATAAATATGAGTCTCTTAACATGATGCTGAAAGAGAAGCCAAAGAAATAAAGTCACAAATAAGGTTTTACAATCAATGCAATTCTGTTAAGTTATTTTTATCATTAAGTGCGATGTCTGTTTCACTGCTTTCCAAGATTTTCCTGAAGGAGTTTGCCGCTGTTCGAGTCAACTTCAGTTTAAGAAAAATAAATCAAATCAAACAATGCGATTTAAAATAAAATTCCTTTTAACAATAATAATCTTCTTTTAAAATTTTTCAAAAATTTACCGTTTGGGATCAAAGGCAAAACGATGTCGAAATTTTTTTCTAAAGTACCCCGGTTCACGGGGCCGTATTACGAAAAAATTTAAGTCTAACTTAAGTCAAAGTTTGGGCTTAAGTTAGAATCTAAGTCTCTGGGCTTAAGTTTTGCCGTATTAAAAAAAAACTTAAGTCTAGACTTAGTTAAGTCGGTGACTTAAGTTTTTTTCGTGATACGACCCCCCAGGTTGACTTAAGTCACGAGAAATGTAGTCCTAAAGTTAAGATGGAAAACTTAAGCTATTGACGCATTTTCCGAATAGCTCAGGCATTTAACGATACAATGCGATGAAAACTACTTTTTAACGTTTAGATAATAAATATTTCGTTATTTTGCCGGTTTTTGTCCCAAGTTTGTCACGATTGTCAACGACTTTCAAAAAGTAACAAATCACCAACTTAACCCTGGGGGCCGTATCACAAAAAAACTTAAGTCAAAACTTGGATTTAGGGTCAGACTTAAGTCTTCGTTATGTAAACTTACGTGCTAATTTTATACACTTCGGTGATTTAAGTTTTTTTGTAATACGACCTCCTGATCCGTCCATCTGTGGTTCATGCGGATCCTAGACGAAAATGAGAGTTTTGAAGATATGTCTTGCTACTCTGCCAGATAAATAATGAGTGGATGCAATCAGTTCATATTGATAGTACACCCTATTGTCATTCGGTGGAATATAAAGTGAAGCGGTAAAATCTAACCGTTGACAGTATCCAAATGAAATCAGTAGAATTTGGGCATATTATAGGTGGTCGGATCAAGGTTAAGTCTTTTCGTAATACGCTTTAAGTCATCAGACTTAAGTCGGTCTTAAACTCAGACTTAAATCACGACTTAAGTTTTTTCGTAATACGACCCTCAGAGGTTATCGCGTGTCAGATAATCGACCATGAAGAAGACGAAGCTGAAGCTGCAATCGGTTTGACCGAACAGACTTTTAAAATTTTTCAGTCCGGTGATATGTGTTCTGAAGTTACTCTTTTTTTGCGAAGTTTTTGCGCATCTTAATTGCTAAACAGCACAACTTTTGTTTATTTGATGTGTCTGGGGGCCGTATCACAAAAAAAGTTAAGTCAGACTTAAGTCAGTGTATACACTTCGGTGACTTAAGTGTTTTCGTGATACGATCCCCTGACTTAGTTTTATGTTTAATGAGATGTAAAGAAGCAGTGGTCGTTACATCAATATTTTCAAGTTCATAAACTAAACACACGCTTCAGTCAACGTTTAGGTTGTGTTCGTTGCCATTTTACGGTATTAACTCTGAAGACAATTCTGAAGCAAAGATGTCTTAAGTCGATGCTTAGTATCACGTTTCATAGAATTAAGTCGAAATCAAGTCGATACTCACTTATAAAATTAAGTCAAGACTCAAGTACTCACTTAGATTTAATTTTCCAGAGCTACATGTATGTCCCGCTCCAGTCGAGACATTTGCTGGGTATTGTGACTTTGTTATACATCTGTTATTTTTTCTGAGTTCTTTTTTCAATGACGTTAGAGTGAAAACTTTAGAATACCTTATTTTACGGCAATCACCTACAATCATCGATGTTGTATAAAAGTTTACCAAAAATTACTGGAAAACTTTCGATGGTAAAGATTCGAAGGGATTTACAATAATGTTCTTAACTCTTCTCTTTTCTTTTCTAGCGTATTAATTCACAACGTATCACATCTGCTTTGAAACTGGAATTTATAAACTCAGATATGATTTTATTTGTATTTTCGGATATAAATATAGTTCATTTGAATGTTTACTTGTATACAAATATGCTATCCGATGTTTCTGATGCCGAAAAAGCTACGAATGAGTAATATAAAAAAATATATCAAAAGCTAAAGCAAATATGTAAAATTTAACAATCAGCACAAGTGAGAGATCGTTGCTTTTCTGGAGTTTTATCTATTTATTTAGATTTTTACTATGCAAATTTTGGATTTAGGGAAATATATGTTTACTTTTGTTCGTTATTTGTACTTTATTTTATTAATTACCGGTTTACTATTTAAAATAGGGTTCTGAAACTATTGTATCTTATTATCTTAACTACAGTCAAGATTACCCATCATTATGTTACTATTGGATCACTACTATTTGGTAGAGGTGGGACAGTTCCAGTTACCGTTCCTAGTAACTGGAACTGGTGATCAGTTACCGTTCCTAGTAACTGGAACTGGTGATCAGTTACCGTTTCTAGTAACTGGAACTGGTGACCAGTTACCGTTTCTAGTAACTGGAACTGGTGATCAGTTACCGTTCCTAGTAACTGGAACTGGTGATCAGTTACCGTTCCTAGTAACTGGAACTGGTGACCAGTTACCGTTCCTAGTAACTGGAACTGGTGATCAGTTACCGTTTCTAGTAACTGGAACTGGTGACCAGTTACCGTTCCTAGTAACTGGAACTGGTGATCAGTTACCGTTCCTAGTAACTGGAACTAGTGACCAGTTACCGTTTTCTTCACAATCAAGATGGAGAAAAATTTTAACTCATTTATCTTGTTTTTTATACTCTAACGAGCTTATGTAGGTCAGTTCTT